TTGTTTGTTGCAACGACCCCCAGACCCCCTCTACAACACAATTGGTATTTTTCCTCGTGTTTTGCAGAATTCGACTCATCTGCATGGCTTTAATTTCTTGTTCTGTGAAGGATCGGGCTTCTAAATCTTCGCGATCATTGACATCTCTTGCAGAACTGATATTCTCGGTCTTAGAAATATATATCTGTGACATTATAAAGTAGGATTCTTCGACGAATTCCTGCATTCATTTCTGCCAGGATGTTGGCAAAACAACAAGAAATGGCTACATGTATTGTACAAAATGATTGGATGACGTTTGCTTTTCTCAACCAATCAATATCCCTGTTATGAACATTTTCCCTGACCTGATTTAAACTATGAAATGCACGTGCAGTGTACTGTCATCATTTACCTGAGTAGAAATAAGCGCTTGCGATGAGATAATTGGGGGGCTCTAAATGGGAAACTTTGATAAATTTGTGAAATGAAAAATGCTTTTGAAATTGGGAAAAATAGAAAAAATCTCTATTTCTCGAAAAAGTATTTAGTATAAGTCAGTTATATACCTTTTCTCGGTGTATGGGTTGATACACCGTCTCTTTTGTGAGTGGAGATCTCCTCCGCTTCAACTATTATATATATATATATATATATATATATATATCATAGTATAAAATATAAAAATAACACCGATTTGCTTCTACATGTTTCAATATATTTTCATCAGGAAGCCATTGATACTAATAACGTTGCAAGGTTGTATCAATGGCTTCCTGATGAAAATATATTGAAACATGTAGAAGCAAATCGGTGTTATTTTTATATTTTATACTATGATATATGATACTGTACATTAGAACAACAACTCACTACAGATATATATAATATATAAATTTTCTATTAATGTGTTTGTAATAAATCAGGGCCGATGGAAGCAAGCTCCTTGGAGTCTTGGTCGACAGAGGCGCTTTCTGAGCGATTTCCAGCGATACTGAACTGGACAAATATGCATAATAATATCAAGGCTGTGGACATAGATCTAGAGATCATAATTTTTATACGATTTTGATAAAATTATAATATAATTAGAACCGAAAGATTTCGGTTTCTTTTGATATTGGTGCAAATAGGACCGTCACTATCTCTACATATACATGTTTAGCTTGTTGACCCTTTTAAAAAACGTTCAAATATATCAACGTTACAACATACTTACGGTTGAGTGCAAATTTTCTGAAAATCGGACCGAAATTGCCCGACAAAATGGCATCTGCGCTTAAAAGCATGTAATACCCAGGTTATGGAACACCCAGAGGTTCGAATTTTTATCCAATTTGACCTACCCCAAAGGTCTGGGTTTTTAGCTTGTGGACCGACGCGCTAGAGGTTACTATATTTATCTTATAAATATCTGAAAATCCGACCGAAACTTTCAGTTAAATGGTCGCTCCCATTTACGCAAATAGTAAAAAAGCATGTAATAGAAAGGTTGTAGACCATCTAGAGGTCAAATTGTTTATCCGATTTAGATTTAGATGGAACTTAAAACTAGTATCACTAGCTCTTGAATGAGTTAAATTTTGGAGCACATTGGTCCCTTGCTTTTTTCGCAAAATGTAAAATGAGGCGACAGTTTTTGTCTAATTCATGAGATGAAACTTAAACTATGTGTTTTAACAGGATCAAAAAAGTCTTGGATGAGTTCGACTTTTGTACGCATCCGACCTTACATTCCAGAGCTATAGCCCCTGCTTTTTACGCAAAATGTGCAATATATATGTATTTTGTAGGCCCTCCAGTGGAATTACAATTGTCCCATTCTGAGGAAACTTAACAAATATGTTAAATATCAAAAGATCTTGATTGGGGGGATGAGCCCTATTGATTTTACCTCTTCCCCATCCATTTCTTGCAAAATGTGGGCGTATCTTGCATGGCAACGCTTTGTTTCAACTGGTCATAACTGATGCAGTGAATTATGTGATGGATAAGGGACACGAAGATAGAGTGTTTTTTTTTAAAATTACCTAATTAAATAAATAAAGATTGAAATAAATATTGACTGTTCAGTAACCTAATCGTGACCCTCGAAACCGTAGTATCTTCATAGGCGTAGGAGCTCAAAGTATTTCAGGGTGGCATATGAGAAAATTGCCCGAAATCAAGACGAGAAAAAAACTTTTCGGCAGGGTGGATCTCATAGAAATAAGTTAGTTATATTTTTTCTCTAAACGTTAATAGAAAAAAAGGTCAAATTTTTCATTGCCCGAAAATAACTTTTTTGTGCCCCCCCCCCCCTGCGCCCCCCCCCCCCCCCGGCTCCTACGCCTATGGGTATCTTAACCCATAGATCAGTATAGCGAATAGCAGGGTTTTCATCTTCTGAAAGTCGAGGGGTTTAATAGAATAGTTACTTGGGTGCTCTCACCCCCACTCCACCGGGTCTGATTAAAACATGGAAATACAAACATTTCATAACAGTTGTAAAATATGAAAGTAATCGATATAACATATAAATATATTTTATACATCATTTACACGTAATTCGCCGGAACCCTAGAAAAAGAATGTTAATTCTGTGTTTAGGTATTTAAACATACATTATGCAAGGGCTAAATCTGCCTATTGCAGGTCTGTCTTTAGATCTGAAATGTTATAATTTAAACTGGGAAAACTAGGCTAAGTCTCGATTATACCAGTGCCCTGGTTACCACAATCACACATCTTGTCAAAATTACAAACAGTGATAACGTGGCTCATAATGAAGTAATTTGAATGAAATTTTCAATATTTTCATTTTACATTATCTATTTTTGAAGTGCTATAACAAGAATGGTCAGCTCTTTATCTAAATCTTACATAATGTATCTTTAATAGAATACAAACAAAATTGTAAGCAATGACATTAAATGGGGTTTAACGTTCCATTGCTCTGTCCCGACTGGTGTAAGCCATACAGTGTGCACACTATGGTGGCTGTTTTGCCCAAACAATGGCGATTTGGCCAATAATGAAATGGGGTTTAACGTCCTACTTTTCCGTCTCGACTGGGCTAATAAACATGGGCGTTGGGCGTAAGCCATATAGTATGCACATTATGAGGGCCGTTTTTCCCGAACAATGGAGCTTTGATCTACTAATATTTAGAATTCCAACTGCCAAGGTTATTTTACATGCAAGCCACTGTGTACACGGGACCTCGGTTGTTCGTTCCACCCGAACTATAAACGCGCCATGCCCTGCGTCCTGCACCACTAACAAGGGTAAACCATATTGGTAAATCCCGTGTAATATTCTCGACCAACATCCTGAACAAACCCCAGAACTTCTGGTTAGTAAGGTAAGGAAGTTCATCTGGATTTTCCGACGTGGTTTCCCGTTGTCAGTGGTGCAGAACGGAGGGCCTGATAAGGACAGCTGTCTAGTCCTTCGGATGAGACGAAAAACTGAGGTCCCGGGTATACATTGGAATGCAGGTAAAAGATCCCTTGGCAGTTGTAATTCGATATAAGAGTAGGCGATAGTGCCGCTGCCCGGGCAATATTTCCCTCATAGCACACTGTATGGCGTATGCCCGTCTCCATTAGCCCAGTATAGGAGCAGAACAGTAGGACGTTAAACCCCATTTCATTTCATTTCATGGTGAAAAAAAATAACAGAAGGTAAATACTTCGGAATAGACTTAGAACAGAGGTGGGGCAGAGCGGTATTTTTATTATCTTCATATTGCAGCTTAATAAGGACGGCCAGCAACAATCTGAGTGCTTAATCCATTAACAGACCGTTCCGAAAGGAATTAACTTTCAGAGTACTTTTAAACCAGTGAGTACCACATAACAGATTTCAGAGTACTACGTAACACTTTTCGGGGTAGTAAATATATCAATTTAAACGAGTACGTCTACGTAACACTTTTCGGTGTAGTGAGTACTATATAACAGTTTTAGGAATGGTAAATATATCAATTTAAATGACGTTCGTGAAACCAGTTGGATTGAACGTCCTACTTGTCTTCTCCATCTGTGTTAATGAAGACGGGTATACGCCAAGCAGTATGCAATGAGGGTAATTTTGCCCTAGCAGCGGCCCTGCAGCCTACTCTTATTTCTAATTAAAACTGTCAATCGTTTGTTTATGTGCACGATAATGTGTACACGACGCCTCGATCGTCCCATCCGAACGACTAGACACTGTGCATGGCCAGTCGTCTATCTTTCCCCACTGACATGGGAAAGACCCCAAACTTTCTTCGGCCATCAGTGGGATCGAACCCGGGTCTGCCAGGCTAGCGAGCTCACGGAGCCACCACGGATACTTCTTTGAATGATCCTGCATTCATGGTATGCTTCGGAACAACGAAATGGGGTATTTTAATTTTAACTACAGTAGCTCCACAAGCAACTCCAGCAGTACACGCTAATGTAATAGAAGCTAGCAGGGATTGCCAGGCTAGCAATTCACGGAGCCACCGCGGCCCCTTCTTTGAATGGGTCCTGCATTCACGGTATCCATCGGAACAACAAAATGGGGCTATTTTTCTTTTCACTACTGTAGCTCCACAAGAACCTCCCTAGCATTCTCCATTCCCAGTTGGCAGGTGTGGGCAAGTGGTTTACCAGATGTGTCATTGAGACTAGTGACGGGGTTTTAAATCCTCGCTTGTACATGACAAAGAGTAGGATCGGCTAGCTAACCTCGTGAATTTTTTTCCGGTTCTCCGGTTTCCTCCCACTGCTAAAGACCTCTACGCGCAATTTTTCCGCCGTTTAATCGTACTCTACTGGACGTTTAAGTTTCACAGTGAGATCAATGAGGCATGAGATGAACACATACGATGTACTTCTTACGTCACTCGAAAACAGAGATTTACAGATAGGAATACAAATACATGTATATTTTTTTCATGAGGGAACCAAATGGGTGTTTTTCAGGGATTCCATTTTTTTTGCTTTTAGTGTCTCTACTTTCGATATATATACCAAATGTTTCGTACTGGTATTGTAAATAACTACAAATACTTTCGTGGGAATGTATCTTTAATTGAATAACCAACTGATAAAACATAATAAATATATATATATATATAAATTTTCTATTAATGTGTTTGTAATAAATCAGGTCCGGTGGAAGCAAGCTCCTTGTGGTCTTAATCGACAGAGGCGCTTTCTTAGCGATTTCCAGCTAACAAAATTACTACTCAGCAATGAAGTGAAACTTTATTGACTTTCTAAGTCCCTTACCATGCAAACACGGTCGATGGTGGTTTCCTGCGATACTGAACTGGACAAATATGCATAATGATATCAAGACTGTGGACATAGATCTAGAGATCATAATTTTTATACGATTTTGATAAAATTATGTTTAGAACCGAAAGATCTCGGTTTCTTTTGAAATTGGTGCAAATAGGACCGTCACTATCTTTACATATACATGTTTAGCTTGTTGACCCTTGTAAAAAACGTTCAAATATATCAACGTTACAACATAATTACGGTTAAGTGCAAATTTTGTGAAAATTGCCCGACAAAATGGCAGCTGTGCTTAAAAGCATGTAATACCCAGGTCGTGGAACACCCAGAGGTTCGAATTTTCATCCAATTTGACCTAGCCCAAAGGTCTGGGTTTTTAGCTTGTGGACCGACGCTCTAGACGTCACTATTTTTATCTTATTTTCAAAACCGTTCAAATATATCACCGTTACAGAACAATTATGGTTGAGTCCGAATTTTGTGAAAATCCGACCGAAACTTTCAGTCAAATGGTCGCTCCCATTTACGCAAGTAGTAAAAAAAAGCATGTAATACAAAGGTTGTAGACCATCTAGAGGTCAAAATTTTTATCCGATTTAGATGGAACTTAAAACTAGTATCACTAGCTCTTGAATGAGTTAAATTTTGGAGCACATTGGTCCCCTGCCTTTTTCGCAAAATGTAAAATATGAGGCGACAGTTTTTGTCTAATTCATGTTTTAACAGGATCAAAAATTCTTGGATGAGTTCGACTTTGGTACGCATAAGACCTTACATTCCAGATCTATAGCCCTTGCTTTTTACGCAAAATGTGCAATATATATGAATTGTGTAGGCCCTCCAGTGGAGCTACAATTGTCCCATTCTGAGGAAACTTAACAAATATGTTTAATATCAAAAGATCTTGATTGGGGGGATGAGCCCTATTGATTTTACCTCTCCCCCATCCATTTCTTGCAAAATGTGGGCGTATCTTGCATGGCAACGCTTTGTGTCAACTAGTCATAACTGATAGCAGTGAATTATGTGATGGATAAGGGACACAATGAAAGAGTGTGTTTTTTTTTAAATTACCTAATTACATAAAGATTGAAATAAATATCGACTGTTCAGTAACCTAATCGTGACCCTCGTCCCCGTGGGTATCTTAACCCATATATCAGTATAGCGAATAGCAGGGTTTTCTTTTTCTGAAAGTCTACGGGTTTAATAGAATAGTTACCTGGGTGCTCCCACCCCCACTCCACCAGGCCTGATAAAAAACATGTAAATACAAACATTTCATAACAGTTGTAAAATATATGAAAGTAATCGATATAACATATAAATATATTTTATACATCATTTACACGTAATTCATGCATTCGGCAAGCATTCATCAATCCAATCCAGACTGCAATATGATGGCGATTGATTTACGTAATAAGATGACCCAATCGAACGCAATATTAAATAAAAGTTCCATTTCACAAGGTTACACCAGCGCCGACGGTAAAAATATAAGGTGGAACACTGCTCTTCCATGTTATAGTAGAAGTCGTAATCACAATCGTATCTTGTAACGTTTCGTCCGGAACCCTAGAAAAAGAATGTTAATTCTGTGTTAGATATTTAAAGGGACAATACCACTCTTGCTGGCTTGACAGCTCCAGAAAATAAATAATATCCTAATTTAAGTACTAGATGGTTAAGTGTCCTACCTGTTGTGAAAATTATCCATTACACCCTTTTTTACTTGTCCAGAGGGTTCGAAAATATTTTTAAATCGAAGATACATTGGAAAAGGTTTACGTTAGACTAATCAAATCATTAAGTTGAATTTTTTCCATTTTCTTAAATAAGGTGTGTTAAGATGAAATTTGTATCATCTATTAATTGAAATATTGAAAAATAGTACAATTTGTTGACCAGAATAAAGATTGGGACATATTATTCAGTTACAACAAGAGTGGTATTGAGCCTTTAAACGGGCATTATTCAAGAGCTAAATCTGCCTATTATAGGTATTTCTTGTTATCTGAATTATTAATTAGACTTTTATTAACAAAACAAGACCATAATCAAATATCGGTGGCATCGGATACTCGAGATTTTGACTAGATTAGAACGGTTCGCCATTTAAAAATATAATTTAAACTGAAAAGTGAGGTTAAGTCTCGATTATACCAGTGCCCTGGTTACCACAATGCACACATCTTGTCAAAATTACAAACAGTGATAACGTGGCTCAGAATGAATGAAGTAATTTGAATGAAATTATCAATATATTCATTTTACATTATCTATTTTTGAGCTGTTATAACAAAAATGGTCTTTAATAGAATACAAACAAAATTGTAAGAAATGACATTAAATAAGATTTAACGTTCCATTTCTCTGTCCCGACTGATCTAACAAAGATGAGCGTAGGTCATATAGTGTGCACTCTATGAGGGTTGTTTTACCAGAACAATGGCGCTTTGGCCTACTTACATTTAGAATTCCAACTGTCAAGGTTGTTTTACGTGCAAGCCAATGTGTACACGGAACCTCGGATGTTCGTTCCATCCGAACTATAAACACGTGATACCCTGCGTGCTGCACCACTAACACGGTAAAACCATGTTGGAAAATGCCGTGTAATATTCTCGACTAACACCCTGACCAAACCCCAGAACTTCTGGTTACTAAGGTTAGGTTGTTGTCATGTATTTCCGTTTGGCAGGTTAAAGATGCATTATGTAAGAGCTAAATTTGCCAATTAATTGCGGGGGGATCACGTGGCTAAGTGGGAAGACGCTGGCTCGCTAGCATGGAGATGGGGTGTTCGATCCCTGCATTGGCCAAGAAAGTTCATCCAGATTTTCCGGTGTGGTTCCCCCTTGTCAGTGATGCAGGACGGAGGGCCTGACAAGGACGGCTGTATACAAGGGCCTGACAAGATCCCTTGGCAGTTGGAATTCGATGTAAGAGTAGGCGATCGTGCCGCTGCCCGGGCAAAGTTTCCTTCATAGCACACTGTATGGCGTATGCCCGTCTTCATTAGCCCAGCATAGGAGCAGAACAGTAGGACGTTAAAACCCCATTTCATTTCATTTCATTTCATGCCAATTGCAGATCGTTTGTTTGGTCTCAAATGTTATATTAAAAAAATGGGGCATTTGTCATTTATTCATATGCCAAGTCCATAATCAACTCTCTAGACAACCGAATTTATACACGATCGTAAGTTAATAATTGAATTTTAAAAATAGTTAATCGAGACTTATTTATGATCGTAACAATGGTAGCAATGACAATTGAGACTACACAATTGTTCAAACGACCGTAACTAATCTATATGACTGAAATTTTCAATATATTCTCTTTTCATTATCTATTATAGCAACAACTATGAGCGCTTTAACGAAATCTTATACAATGTAATAATATAAATTAAATTTGTTTAGCTACTGAACGAGACAATGCGGACTTATTGCGATCGTATATTTGTTAATGTTACGAGTTTCCGTCTTGAAAATGGCGCTCGATTCATAATACAGGTCATTTTTCTTCGGGTAAGCTCGGATATCATAATAAATGCTCGATTCAATGGGACTATCGCGTGTACTTTAGAACATAAGGACTGCCATTGAGTCAAACTGAGTGGTTTGGATTCACAGATTGTACGTGGGTTTCCGAAGTATCTTCCGGTTTACTCCTACAGGGAATCATTAAAAAGAATATTGTAACATGATGATGATAGTACCGAAATTATGTAGTTTGTGTCGAGTGGACGTTAAATCTCACCTCTCTCGTAAATGGTTATTGCTGAAAATACGTCATAACAACAAAATACGCAATTTTCATTACTAATACATGAATAGCAAACGTCATGATTACTTACACATGAATAGCAAACGTCATGTTTATCACACGCCGGTTTGAAAAGTAGTCTGTAAGTTTCGTAACCAAGGGCATTGCATCCATTAGAGAATCTAGCACATGATTTTCCATCTATCAATTCGATCAGTTGAACAGCCAACAGCACCAATAAACTCGTAACTAGTTTCATGTCTGAAAATATAAACGAAACACAAATCTCATTGAATTGATTAAACGCCTTTTGGTAATTGTTTAAAATATGAGACAAATAGATATTATTGATGAGCTTAAATTGAAAGCGGTTTGTTAAATTAAATCTATTCCGTTTGGGGCTACGAAGATGGGGATCAAATGCCGCTAAACACGTTAAATTCAATTTCTTCCGCTTACAGTCGGTGCTAATATGGAATTGTCTCCCTTGAATAGAAATCTACACGTCCAGGATCTTACAACCCGAGGGGAAAGTAATCTAGGACTAAAGCAATGGACTGTACAGCGCAGTGGGCACTTTCGGCTAGAGCCCCCGGATCCATTCCCTTAATCTCTGACATGTACGTTTGTTTGTGATTTCTGCGTATTGTGTCTAGTCCGTATAATTGTTTTCTGTAATTGTTTGTGGTGCAGTCCCCCTGCACTTACTATTAGTAGTACTGGATAAAAAAGAATCAAACTTTTTACTAAGGCCTATATGGCTACTATTTAAATAAAATAAATAAATAGCTGGGTTTTTTTTCCATAAGTATGTGTTATAGTTTATTGCTCTATCCAGTTACTAAATGCCTCGAAAAAATTACTATTTAATTGTCGGGCTTTGTCTACGATATCAAGGGGTGGGGGGGGGGGGCAATGGTTAGCACGTGCGCGCTGTATCATAACGCCTGTCATTGAGTCAACTGGCGTGAATTCGAATCCCCTAAAAAAAAAAAAAAAAAACACGCGCAAGCGAATTATTGAAATAAAATTGAACCGTTTTAGTCCTGAAATGACCTAGTTTGTGTCGAATGGACGTTAAACAGCATTTCTCTCTCTCTCAACGATATCACCCTAGGTGGCAATGGACGTAACAACTCGGGAACGAACGAACTATAGGGCAATCTGACTTTTCGGGCTGACAGGTAAAGTGAGAGAAAAATTAATACATCATTCGCAAAATAAAGTGCTCGAATTCGAATAAAATACTAATTTTAATTTTCTTTTAATTGATATTACGAATTGGTAATGAATTGGCTATGTTTTAAAACACGTTGTCAAGGGCCACTATGCTTTGTGGACATTTTTCGGGCATTGATTATTATTTTTGTGAATGCAGCTGCAACAGTCTGATTGGATTTTTGGAAATCAGGTCAGCATAGAGTGGGATTTTGGTTGTAAAACCATTGGTCAACTTTGTAGTTGCGTAACTCATTGGCTAGAATAGCAGAAAAACGCATTTGCGTTTCAAAATTGTCCAAAAAAAATCGGGAAGGGCGAGGCCCCCATACCTTGCGACGCACAATATACACAGATAAAGAGCTGACCGTTCTTTATATAATAGTTCAAAATTAGATGGATCCCCGGTGGCTCAGGGAGTAAGATGAATCAAGAATGGATAAATATAATTCCATTTATTCCCTTGACTTTTACACGTCAATCATTGATCACGTGGTTTGTTTGTTTACACCAAGTATCAGGTCATTATGACCCGGTCGCCATTCGCAACAGATGGTACCCATCCTCTCACGAAAGAAAGCGATCCCTTAGGGTCACGCGTGTGTCATCTTCATGCAGCAAGGAGCTTTGTAAACAAATCGTCAGAACACCTCCAGCCTCCTGGTTTTATTAAGGACCAAAGTTCAAAATGGCCGTTATAATGTTCGGGTCTATTGTTAGTATGTCCGTTGTTTGTCTAGATTTTACGTCCCATCCATTCGACTAGTAGGACTAGTAGGTCCGCTGACCATGGCAGCGTCTAGTCTTTCGGAGGCAAACTAACAACTATATGGCCCATATATTATGGAAGTGGGAGTGAGAGAGAGAGAGAGAGAGGGGGGGGGGGAGAGGGAGATGAATGGGGTTTAACGTCCACTCGACACAAACTAGGTCATTTGGGGAATAACGCATTGGTCAATTTTATGTCAATAGTTCGCTTGTGCGTAGGGTTCTTTAGCAGTGGGAGGAAACCGGAGGACCAGGAGAAAACCCACGAGGTTGGACAGGCAACCCTACTGCTTGTCACGTACAACCTGGGATTCGAAAACACGCCAGTTGACTCAATGGCAGACCTTATGATACAGCGCGCACGTGCTAACCATTCACCCACCCACCCCATATATAATGGACACAAATATGCGTCTGACTGATCTAAGAAGACAAATCTATTTTAAAAGGTCATGAACTAATCACGAGCACTAAATAAAGTGATTAAATACGTAATCATATATAATACTAATTACCCACCACCCCTCAAACCTTTGTTAGAATCTCCTTGCCGTTCAATAGACGGTTAATCTCAGAGGTCATTGACCAATAGACCAATATAGAACACTGACGTATTACGTCATGATTGCGTCATTGGGTATTAAACGGTAAGTTGGAGCGAGAAATAATGTCTACATAACAAATTTGTTAAATTGTAAATGCAACGTGTGTGTGTGTGTGTGTGTGTGTGAAGTAGTTCTAATCCCCCGAACTCAAATTGTCAACGTATCACCCACATGACAGACCTATACCCAAACACACAGAGAGAGAGAAAGAGAGAGAGGGGGAGGAGGGGGGGGTTGACGTACACTCGACACAAACTAGGTCATTTCGGGACTAACACATGGTTCAATTTTGTTTCCATAATTCGCTTGCGCGTAGGGGTCTTTAACAGTAGGAGGAAACCGGAGAAAACCCACGATGTTGGACAGGCGACCCTACTCCTTGCCACGTACAGACTTTATGATACAGCGCGCTCGAACTAACCATTCGGCCATCCAACCCCCTATACCCAAACAGATCCGGGGCCACATTGACAGTTCTAATTAGTAGAACTCAATTAGGTCATTTCTGGACTAGCATATAGTATAATGTATTATCACGTACAAGCTCTGGGTTCGAAACCTCGTGACTTGACTCAATGAGGGACCGTATGACCTAAAGCGCACGCGTTAGACCACTCGACCACCTAATTGCCTTGACCCCCACCCTCACAATAATTCAATATTACCTTCCAAGTCTAGACTCCAAGTCATTATTTGTTAAAAACGGATATACCGCAACCATATACCGCGATGAGAGGATGTGGGGTGGGTGTGGGGTGTGTTTTGGTGGGTTTGTGTGTGCGTCCGTTCAGAACAAACTAGGTGATTTCGGGACTAACATGGTTCAATTTTATTTCAATAATTGGCTTGTGCGTATGGGGGTATTTAGTGGGCGGGGGAAATCGGGGGTCCCGGCGAAAACCCATGAAGTTGGACAGGCGATCCTACTCCTTGTCACGTACACGCGGGGAGTCGAAACCACGCCAGCTGACTCAATGACAGATCTAACGATCTAACCATTCGGGGGGTCACGTTGGCTAAGTGGGTAAGACGCTGACTCGCTAGCCTGGAGGTCGGGTGTTCGATCCATGCATTGGCCGAGAAAGTTCATCCAGATTTTCCAGCGTGGTTCCCCCTTGTCAGTGATGCAGGACGGAGGGCCTGACAAGGACAGGTGTCTAGTCGTTCGGATGGGACGAAAAACCTAGGTCCCGTGTATACATTGAAATGCACGTAAAAGATCCATTGGCAGTTGGAATTCGATATAAGAGTAGGCCATCGTGCCGCTGCCCGGGCAAAATTTCCCTCATAGCACACTGTATGGCGTACGCCTGTCTTCATTAGCCCAGTCGGAGCAGAACAGTAGGACGTTAAACCCCATTTCATTTCGTTTTCGTCCCATACAAACGACTAGACACTGTCCTTGTTAGTCAATGGATAACTGCACAAACATTTCACAAACGTTACTCAACCTAACTGTAAACATAAGAGACACTTGCATCGTGTACACCACAAATCACAGGCAATAAAATAAAATCAATTAGTTATTACCTTGACTTAGTCAATAAAATTAAAATATTACCGTGACTCAGTAATAAAAAAATAAAGTACCACCGTGACTCAGTGAATAAAATAATATAAAATGGGTACTACCATGACTCAGTGAATAAAATAATATAAAATGGGTACTACCTTGACTCAGTGAATAAAATAAAATAAATCAAATACATTAAGTATTACCTTGACTCAGTAATAAAAAAAAATGAAGTACCACCTTGACTCAGTCAATAAAATAAAATACATTAAGTACAACCTTGAGTTCTGTATAGAATCCCAGTCATTCATCAGATATTTGATATATAATCAGCTTTACCACAAGTGATGCAACATTCTAGTTCCAGGTCAATTTTATACGTTCTCCAACTTGATCACGTGTTAATGAAAATAATACATTTTATCTTCCGTTTCTGGAATCTAAAATAAGGAGCCAATCAGCTGCCCCCTTCTAAAATAACGTGCCAAACAACTGCTTCCTTCTAGAAATTCGAATATCTAACAGTTCCTGGTTACTGTGTTAACATTTCCTTGTATCAGCTAATGAATTTTGTATCATTAATCAATTTTGAATACTACTAATTTTCAAGTATGCTTATTCATTAATAAATTCTGATAGTTTAAAGGAGCTAAATCGTTAATATTTGGGACCTACAAATTGACACAAATGGGTCGCAACGTATATAATAATGTAATATGAATGTAAAAAAAACTGATTTACATTCAATCGTTTCCGTTTTTACTCTAATTTTAAAACAGTTATGTTCGGCGGAATACGCCAGAAGTCTCAATCGAATGGCAATCTCTAGCGTCTGGTTATTCCAGTCTACATCGATAGTATTTATTGAGCATGCTCTCCAGAGAAGAATATGGGGTCACCGTTTGACATGACTTGTGGAATATGTCTAACCTCATTCTTCCGAGTCGCTTGTTACAAATTGCGCTGAAACGCATTATGGTACACGATTCGTGTACCAATCGTAAAATGTTTATTTTGTCTTAAATATTGGATATCAGAAGCCCATCTTTTTCCGGTATGATCACAACACCAATGTTGATTAAAATTGACAAATAATTCGTGTTTTCATTGTCGAAGGTTTTGGATGATATTGAGTTAGAGACTTAGCTACTTTAAGGCCCCATTTATCGTCTTGTGTGGATAATACAAGTAGAACTATAGACACGGATCTTAGAGATATTTCTTGGAAATGAACTGTTTCCTTATTAGGTCAATTTTAGGCGAAAGACGGATGGAGTTAATGTTTAAAACTGCTGAATGGGTAATAATTTTGGGTCACGAGATATATGATTATAAGATATTTCCTAGAAAGAACTGTTAGGCCAATGTTAGGCGAAAGACCGATGGAGTCAGTGTGCAAAACTGCTGAATAGGTAATAATTTTGGGTCGCGTCACGAAATGTTATAAGAAATTCCTTGGAAATGAACAGTTTCCTTATTAGGCCAATGTTGAGCGAAAGACGGATATTAAAGAAGAATGCTTTAGAAGCATCCTGGTTGGGCCATGAGCTGTTATAGAAATGAAAATGAAATGGGGATTAACTGTCTACTCTTTGCCCGGACAGCTATGCTACGGCTTACTCTTGTGTCCAATTTTAACTGCCGAGGGTTTTTTTTATGTGCAAGGGACATACCTCGGTTATTACGTCCCATCGGAACGACTATACGTTGTCTCTTGCCAGACCCCCTGTTCCGTACCACTGACAAGGAAATGAAATGAAATGAAATGGGCTTTAACGTCCTACTGTTTTGCTCCTAAACTGGGCTAATCAAGACGGCCATACGCCATACAGTGTGCTATGAGGGAAATTTTGCCCGGGCAGCGGCACTATCGCCTAATCTTATATCGAATTTCAACTGCCAAGGGATCTTTTACGTGCATTCCAATTTATACACGGTTTACAATGTGACTTCGGTTTTTCGTCTCATACGAAGGACTAGACAGCAGTCCTTGTCAGGCCCTCCGTTCTGCACCACTGACAAGGGGAAACCACGTCGAAAAATCCCGGTGAACATTCTCGGCCAATGCAGGGATCGAACACCCGACCTCCAGGCTAGCGAGCCAGCGTCTTAACCACCTAGCCACCGTGGCTCCCACTGACAAGGAGGAACGACGCCGGAAAACCCCGATGAACGTTCTCGACCAACGTAGGGATCGATCACGGAATCATCGTTCAGATGCCCCGTCCTTCACCCCTGACAAGAGGAAACCATGCTGGAAAATCAAAACACTCAACACTGGTTGCCTTGATGACTCTGTGCCTTACGTGCTGAACCACCGCAGCTTCCAATTAGAAGCAGGCCCGTCGAAACGGGGGACTAGGACGACTTCAAAACCCCGCCCCACCCCCTGCACACCCAATAATTTGAAAAGACGAGCCCACTAGCTTAAAGATTGTCTTGGGATCATACCCTCGCAGCTCTCCCCGCCCACCCAACACCACCGACCCAACACCACCGACGTATTAAGTGGACGTTACAATCGACCATGATACCACCAATCATGTTATAGTCCGAGGAGGGTTGGGTGGTCGAGTAGGTTAAAGGTCTGTCATTACCACTCCTGGAGTAGGGTCGCCTGTCCAACTTCGTGATTTTTTTCTGGGTCCTCCGGTTTCCTCCTACTGCTATATATAGACCCCTACGAGCAAGTGAATTATTCAAATAGTATTGAGCCATATGTTAGTCCCGAAAAGACCTAGTTTGTTTAGAGTGGACGTTATTTGTGTCGAGTGGACGTTAAGTCCCATCTCCCCCCGCCCCCCTCGCTCTCTCTCACACACTCTTTCTCTCTCATTGATAATTAATTTTATTGGAACTAATTAACTAACAATACACACTCCTCGATACAAGCGCTTGATCATTGATGTATGCAAGATATCCTAAAAGATGAAAAGGGCACATTGATATTATTAAGTATTCTGATAGTTTACATCAGTTATTTGGAGTTTCTGATAAAAATGTTACACAACCAAAAGAGGGGATTTTTTCATTACTTATTTTTGTATTTATTTATTTATTTATTTATTTATCTTTTTGGTGACTTTCTTGCTATTTCAAAAAAATATATGTAAACTGTATTTTATAAAATGCAACACGGACATTGCTAGTTATTACGAAAGTTCGTATTACGTTATGCAAAACATGTAGCTATGTTCGTATTATGACATTAAAAAAAGTTCGTATTACGTTATTTAAAACATGTCGGTAAGTTCGTATTACGTTATTCAAAACGTGTCGGTAAGTTCGTATTACGTTAGTCAAAACATGTCGGTATGTTCGTATTACGTCATTCAAAAAATGTAGGAAAGTTCGTATTACGTCATTCAAAAAAATGTAGGAAAGTTCGTATTACGTCATTCAAAACATGTCAGTAAGTTTGTATTACGTTAGTCAAAAAATGTCGGTAAATTCGTATTACGTCATTCAAAACATGTCGGTAAGTTCGTATAACGTCATTCAAAAAATGTCGGTAAGTTCGTATTACGTCATTCAAAAAATGTAGGAAAGTTCGTATTACGTCATTCAAAAAAAGACACCAAATTGAGTAAAAAAAATACCTGACTGGAATATAAGTAGAAATAAACCATTTGCTTTATTCTTATTATCATGTCTAAAATACACCATAGTAATTGTGGGCTTGGTTATTCGAGACTCCAATTTTAACCTCTATCCTAGTTTGCCGCGCTTTGAAATGTAAACCTGTAGGTTATGTAATGATGTGACCTTTCGGGTTAACGCTCCATGACCCCATGAAAATGAAGGTCAGAGGACTTTGAATTGTATGACACGAGTGGAATTTTGGAGAATTATTTATCTTGAGTAATATCTGAGAAATAAAATTTATAAGATTCTTCTGTTGAACCCTTAAACAATTTTTTTAATTGTTATATGACTGAGTGCCAGATTGAGTGTGTGTGTGTGGGTGGGGGGGGGGAGCAAAATTGGATTGACTGTCTATCTTTAAAAATAAAAGGGACTGGCAGGGATGTGTACCTTGATGGAAATTTGAAACTTATGGTTTAATACCAAAAATGCTCAATATTTTTATTTTATTCAATGTGTGTTACGCGTCCAGAATATACATCGAATCTTCTTTTTAGAAAATTTCTGGGGATTCGTGCCGCACTGGACCTTACACTTTGTTTTTTAATTCAACAGACCCCCCAGTCCCTCACCCCTCAACCCCATGGACTTGTCCTGAATTTCGTTTCTGTGGAGACTACGAAAGTTGTTGCATCTATGATTACAGACAAATACGATGTACAGTGTGTCTAAAGCCTGGGGGTGTGGAATTGGGGTCTAGGGTGTAAATCGCTATGGCGTGGATCTGAAGTTTAGGACCTGTAGCTCACTAGGGGTCTAGGGTGTAAATCGCTATGGCGTGGATCTGAAGTCTAGGATCTGTAGCCCCGGAGAATTCTCACTAGTCCGCGGGTTCACTAGTTGGTTTAGTGCTAGGGTTCATTTGTCTACCGATATCTATTATCAGGGTTGGGTTAGTACTAGCGTTCATTAGTCCATCGATACCTATTACATATTAGGGTTAGGGTTGGGTTAGGTTTATTGATACCCGTATTTATAGTATTTCTTATAGCAGCGGACTAGTGCACACGCGGACTAGTGAACCCCTCTCGTAGCCCCAAGCTTATTATCGTGAAGTTTCCTCGTGTTCCATGATTTGTACCAACGGCTGGAGAATTTTGCACACGCGATGTAAAGAGTTGATATATACATGTCCCAAATTTAGCCAAAGTGTGTTCATTGACTTAAAATCCCATCTCTTGACATATTGTGCCATGGGCCATATTTTACATTCCTTTATATAATTGTATCACAGAGACCTTCGATCGTACCTTTCACCGACTGGGAAATCGACAGTTTCCTAAGATATCTCCCTGTGTATTAAAACTAAATATTTAAAATGTATCCATTCAGCCATTTTAACTTACCAATTTGTGTCATAACTAAAATACTGTAATTCTGATTTGTATGGTATCATATATTACTTGAATTGTATTCGTTTGTTGGATATTCAGCGCTTTATAAATAGATCATATCATATACCCTACCCACAAGGAAGCAAACTAATGCAAGCCTATCCTTTATGTCTTTATATGGTACGTGACAAGGAGTGTGTCGCCTGTCTATCCTCGTGGGCTTTCTCCGTTTCCCCCGGTTTCCTCCCAATGCTAAAGACACCTACGCGCAAGCGACTTATTGAAATAATCTCTCTCTCCCTCTCTCTCTCTCTTTCTCTCTCTCGAACCAAATGAAGAAATAGTAAATTCATTTTGCAAGAACATTATCACAGACCAACAAGTGAAACGGACCCAACACGCAACCCTGTC